ATGCAAATCATTATAATGATTGCAGTGTTTTAACAGTTTCAGCGATTGCATTGCATTTAAGAAGTACACATTCTTTACTTTTAATCGGTTCAATAGTTTTCGAAATATAAGCTTTTGAAAATGTTGAAAATTCCACGTTTAGCCCCCCTACCGCCGCCCCTGTCAATTTGCACCAAAAAAAAATATGCCGTTAAAATCCGGAAAAGGGGGCGGACCACGCCCACTTATTTTTTTCTCTAGCTCAAAGGTCAGTATTCTTTAGGTATTCCATTCTTTTAAGTAATATAGTATTTTTGTTAATTTAACCACGATAAAACATTTATAAAAGTAGTAAAGTAGTAAACATGCGAGGGTTGCATCTGAACACCGAAGTTGGTGCTGCCAGACGATTTATCATCACAATTTTTACTTGCGTCAACAGTTTTTTTGGGTAGAACTCCTTTCTGCGTAGGCGGCCTTTGGCCGCGATTTAGGATTATAACCCTTACCAAATAGAATTCTCCTTTTGGTGTGCACCAACTGGGGCTACCGCCCCAGTGATGTAGCCTTGGGGAAAGGATGAGGTAACTAGAATTTCCTTTCTGTGTGGTACACCTGGGGCTACCGCCCCGGTGATGTCTATTATGGTTACTGGTTACCCTTATTTTAGGTTCTTAATTTTTTTTTAAAATAGAGCCGCAGGCGACCACGCGATTTTTTATTCAAAATTTTCCTTTTTCAAATATTTTATATTATAAAAAATATCGACGCAGGCGTAAATATTTGCTATTTAATATTGTTTATTAAAAAATGCAAAAAATATGGATTATTGTTATGTAACTTAAAGAAAAACATACATTTTTGTTAAAAAAATGGCCATAATTGAAATTTTTTAGAGGTTGCTATTTAAAAAGCACATATCCAAACCTACCATTATATTGTGGAGGTCATTATGAAATATAAGTTGGTTATTTTACAGTCTCTAATTTTCGAACATGTGAAAGTAGTGAAATGGTTAAACGCGTTTTATATTGTTAAAAAATTAAATAAAATACATTTATTGTACACAAATCCCACGTGAACATTGAAAAGATCGTGCATTTATGCAAGTACAAGTGATAGCTGCACTTTTTATATGAAAATTTGCTAATGAAAGTGCAAAAAATTTTACCAACAAATTACTTAGATACTAGTATTAAAAAAGTGAAAATAGTGAGAATTTATGTAAACATATCTGTTTCTTAGGAACCTCGTAAAGTTTCATGAGAAAATTCGTTATAGTTTTGCTAAAACACAAAGTACACTAAAGTCAACCCCTAAAATTTCATAAGTCGTTCCACTTGATTTCCTGATCAAAAAGTGCATTTGCCACATCCTTTCATATAAATAAATGCACATAACACTCTACCTAATAGTTTACACACTTTTATTTTATTTTATCTTGTGTATAAATCACTTTGATCCAACTTTTATTAACTTGTAAATTACATTGAATTGTACCCACATTTATAATACGTTTGTTCGTCGAGCAAAAAATTTGTACGAATTTGTACGAATTATCACGATTTTTGCCCAAATCGCGTTCGTGCAGACCAAAAAATTATCCAACACTCAAAAATTGTGAGAGCAAAGGGACAGTTCTCTTGGAGAGAAGTTGCAAACTCTTGCTGGAAAAAATTTTGCCAGCAAGAATTTGCAAACACGAAAAACGTGTGGTTGTGGCGCATGGTTGCATTTTTGTCTACAATAATTTGAATAAATTAGTTCGTTAAATTTAAACATTTATAAACACGGGCGATTTTTTTATGAAAAAAGGAAGTAAATAATTGTTGATATAATTAATTTAGTTAATTCCAATGATTTGAACTTAATTCGGCTGAAAAAAATTGTATTCGCAATCGGAATACAATTGCAACCAGAGTCGATTTAAGAAACCCGACAGCTAGTACGATGAAGAAATTGAAATGTATGTTAAAGAAAGTCGGAACAACAAGAAATATACATGTATATCCTGTTTTTGGCCATCCGAAAGAATTTTAAAAATTCTATAAAATTTTTTGTATGTTTGAAATGCAACCGTGGACGCCAGCTGGCATGGAAACTTGCAAACTCCTGCAAATTTGAGTTCGTGCAGAAATTTGCAAGTTTCTCAACATTAGAAAGAATTTGAGAGAATTTTTTCTTACTCTCTGATATTTTGAGTGTTGGATAATTCTTGCTGGATTTTCGACGAACAAACCTAATAGCACATAGTTGCAAACTAACACATAAGATTTGTTGCCATACCGTACAAAACAATACATACAAAGAAGCAACACAGAAAGGAGAATTATACTTAGTGAGGGTTATAATCCCTAAGTGCGGCCGAATGCCGCCTACCCAGCAAGATGTTCTCTGCAAAAGGTGTTCAGCCCCTCTTCTTTTGCAACACAGAAAAGAGAGTTCTACGTAGAGAGGGTTATGATCCTTAAGTGCGGCCGAAGGCCGCTTACGCAGAAAGGTGTTCTCTGCAAAAGGTGTTCAGCGCCCCTTCTTCGGCAACACAGAAAGGAGAATTCTACTTAGTGAGGGCTTTATTCCCTAAGTGCGCCCGAAGGCGCCAGGTTTTCTGCAAAAATTTTCAGCCCCTCTTCTTCGGCAACACAGAAAGGAGAATTCTACTAAGTGAAAATTCCGAATTAAAAATCCGCTTTTATTATTCAAAATTCCAGTCTAGCAGAACCAAGTTTGATGTTGTTTTGCTATCGTTTATACGATAACTTTCACAACAAATTATATAAAAACTATAAGGTTGCATAAAGAGTTTTTTCCGCCGGATTGATATTTAAAACATAACGATTGATTTCCATTTTTTCAGCGTATTATGCACCAGCGCACACTGGGAAAAAATCTTTTTGTGTGAAGAAAGCTGCCTACTCTGCAAGTCCCACCCGATTTCGATAATTCTTTTTTAAAAGGTTCGGCCCAAACTGAAGGCATA